CTGCAATATGAATGGTATGGTTCTGAACCATCTGATACTTCTGACTCTGATCCAGATGATGAAAATTAGTAGAATCCAGAAGACAATCCTACAAAAAGTTTTATTTCTGAATTCAGCACTCATATAGAAGTGTCATTAAATTTAATTAATTTGGAACGAGATAATATATTAAATAATCTTACTCGAGTCATTGAACAGGGATTACATCGATCATGGCAAGGTCTTTAGGGTAAATAACTATTGATATGCCTCATGGAAACGCCTGAAAGATTAATACAGTATATCTCTATCATCTACATTTATATCCGAGAATCTTATGTGTATAGCTGAAGGAAAGTCTTGATATGTCGAAATTGGTTATCTTTGAAGCTTTCCGAGATGATGATTACGACTATCTCTATGGAATGTTTCTGCAGGTATATACAGTATGTGAATTTTTGAAATGATTTTTGGCAGGGGCGTCCCGGCTGAAACTTCTGATTTTTTTTCACTAATCATCACTTAATATTTTTTTAGCCACGAAATGGTATTTTATCATTTTTGCTACGGACGGTATTTATAGTACCAGCAAAAATGAATACAATATCAAATCAACCTTTCGAAAATGGCACTCAAAGAAGATCTTGACTCTATTCGAAAAGGCATAAAAACGGGGGTAAGGTGTTATTGTTGGGTTATAATGCCCCTGCTATAGTAGGAAAGCGAATCAAAAAAACTATTAAAAATGACAAATAGTTTTCTCTTACTTACGTGTACACAAAAATAACTGTACTATATACAAATAAAGTATTTTTTTTCTCGTGTTAGCCTATCAAGTTGTCGAAGCTCTTATTTTCTATGTATGCAGATAAGGATGTGTGGGGTGCTTGAGAAACGTTTTACAGTATTAATTCTGAATTTTGACCTGAATGCTCATGTGATTTTCGATGTTGACTTACTGTACGTAATGGATAACCAACCTAGTTCACATACTCAATTCGAGAAAATGAGTTCACTGTATACGTAGCGGTGTGAATGCAAAATACAAATTTATCCCTGCTAATTTTGCTCTGGAATTTTGTAATAGACACCTTTGAACATTTGTCGGAAATTTTATCCTATTTGCTTTGAAGTTATAGAAGCACATTAACGCCTTTTATTTCACATTTTATAAAATAATAAAATTTTATATTTTGGAGCAGGGATCATCGAGAAAATAACAACCTAAAAGAAGGGTTCAAGATATGTACGCGGAATTTTTGTTCTTCTTTCACAGTCGTCTATACCAGAAAATTTACGTTTGTTTCGTTCTTCCATGATAATTCTAGCGCGTGCTTCTCCAATGAAATTTATTCCAGTCAGCTGAGTGTAAGTCGCTTCATTAAGATTTGGTGGCCCCATAGCGTAATTATAACATCTCCCAGCAAAAGATCCGAAATATTTTTCCCAGTTGTCTTTACTAACAATTGCAGACATCGGCTGATGAAGTTTAAGTTTTTCGGAGGATGCTGTTGTGTAAAGAATGAAAGTATCTCCTGGACTCGTTGCCTTTTCATGCTCATCTTTAAATATTTCCTGAGAAATGGCTTGTTTCACCAATTTGCATTGATGTGTTTCCGTTTGTAGTAGTTCAGTCCCGACCATTTTTATCGAACAAAAGCTATCTCCGGATTCATTGATTATAATATGTCTTGCTTTTGTAACGTCAACTTCTCCATCATGACACAAAATTTTTACACCTTGCTTATAATTTCCAGACCTGGTGCTGACCCTTTTAACTGAATGTTCCAATGTAAGTTCTCGATTGTATATGGAACTATCATCAAAATTATGCTTGGCACCTTTATGAATGACTCCGAGTTTAACTTGTTCGTTATCACCGTAGATATTCGATTTTAGAGAGCGAAACTGAGTAACAAAGTACTCAAAATTTTGCCAGTATTGGCAACCAGGTGGTATACTTGAGTTTCCTACTTTATTGCATACTTCATTGTAATAGTTAAAATCCCAGTTCCGTAAAAGTTTATCATCTCGTGACGCACGCGCCATTATCCATAGCCAAATATATGGACATGTGAGATGTCCAAAAAACTCATACACACCTTGACTCTCGAATCGAACAAGACCAAATTGTGTTACATCTTCTACTGTTATTTCTTTCCCCTCAAATGTAGCAACATTTGAACTTTTCTTAACTAGCATACGTGAAAGAATAATGCGAAGGACCGGTTTCAAACAAATGGTTTTACTTAACCATCCTTGATATTTTTTACTGAGATTTGATCGTACATCATTTATTAGATCAATAAAACGAATATTGTCCAAATCTTTTCCACTGATAGACTCTTCTAAAGCCTCCAACGCACGCCCATGACCACCCATATCGTTTATGAGCATCTTCATGACTGGATTATCAACAAAGACTGGGTTGCCGTTTATTCTCGGAGGTTGTAATGATGTCACAGGGAGAAAAACTCTCCATTGTGAATAGTCAGAAAACCTGAAAGTGGGCATGATAATAGTAGTCGTACAGCAGGTAATAATAAATGGGCCAAGAAGTGAAAGAATACCAAGTACAGAGATACAATCGTGAAAAAAGTATTTTTTGTTCATTGCTACTTGTAAACCATCCAAAATAACAATCACATTCAGATCATTTAATTCTTGATCACGATGTTTAGCAACTCTTCTCAATACATCTCCTGGGACTACATTATATCGATCCACATAGGCATCCCAGGATTCACCAGGCTGCTGTAACAACTGAAAGAGCATTCGATTACCAATTGCATAAGAGCAATAGGTTTCTATCATCCAAATTAATTTGGTCTCATTTTCAAATGATAGATTAAATACAAGAGCAGACCTAAGTCGATTCTGTAAGTCAACATCATTTGTACATTCAATTAGCAATTTCGGCAATTCTTGTGCAGTGCGAGATTTTCCTTCTCCAGCTCCTGCTATAATGAAGTATTGCGGTATTGTCATCTTATCACATCTTCCAGCCTTCCAATGTTTGAAATGATCACTAATAGCATCCTTAAGTTCTTTTTTCAAAGATTCTGAGGCTTGAAAGTCCCAAGAGGAACCACTACCCTTAAGAAGAGGTTGGGGGTCACGATATTTTAATGTTTCAGGCAGTGTTCGTGCTGAAAAAAGATTGAGATCACGATATTTTAATTTTTCAGACAGGATTCGTGCTGGAAAAAGAAAGAAATCATATATTTTATTGTTGCAAATTTCTTTTTCGAGTGGTAAAAAATTGAGAGACACTTACCAGTGGTGGCGGGCGATGGTGGTTGCACAATGATGCGGATGTTCTTCAAGTCACTATACGCAAAAATGTCTTCAAAATCATAAAATGGAGCCAGCAGTTTTCCTCCAAGATTTTGTATAACAATATTTTCATCATCAATGTCACTTCTGCTTTCAAGTGGTTCTAATTTTTTAACGTTTTCTGCATCGCCAGGAATATTCACCTCCCATATATTTAACTTGTTGGCATCAAAACCTTGTTTTGTGAAATCATGCTTCTCATAGATTAGCTCCTTTAGTTCGAAAATACTCATTCCTGCCTGGCCTTCAACTTGAAAGACGCGCTTAGCTTTAGTACCCACCACAAAACAAAATACCATGACACCGTTGGTATTCCTGCAAACGCGAAAATCAAGAGTTAAAACGGGATTTAAAACAGATTTTCAGTAAATAGAAATACAGACCTAGTTAAAAGACTATCTAGAGGACTATTTAACGGAGCTTTTCTTTCATTCATTTTTCTATTTAATCTTTCTAAACGTACAAGTTTATAAGTTTATATCAGCCCGCGCATATTCTAGCTAAAAACAGGTGATCATTATTACGTCACAATTTTATACTGTACTATTGCCGTAGTACCGTAGTACATATTTTTGTTTTATCCAGTACGTGGAATATATACTATGTGTACTAGCGATCATCAGATAAATATTCCAAAGCCCGAAACCTTGATGTTCTACAGAGCAGTGTAAAAAAAGATTGTTGAGGGATCAGACAGCAACTGCTAGTAAGAGAGTCCGAATCAAAAAACATTTTTCATTATTGAAGGCAATCACAAGTGGCTATGCCATCATGATTTGACATCGTATATTTTATCAATAATAAAGTGATTAGTGTTCCGTTTTCGTATGATTAAATGAATTAAATATCAAGCTTACAGTTGAATTTAGCGAACTTAAGAAGAAGTATGCTGAGGTCGAGGCTAAAAAGGCAGAGCGTGAGGCCAAGAATATCGAACTTTTAAAACAGATCAAAGATGAGGTAAAGAAAAATAAAATAGATACCAATGACCTTAAGATTCATCAGGAAATTTTTAAATAAATGAATATCAGTATATAACAGAAAAGTATGAGACAAAAAACTTGTTTTTTAAATTATTTTTATATTTTTTATCATACTTCAATAACTAAATAATAAAATAAGATAAAATTTTATATTTATATATTTGAAGGTACAAAAAATAAGTTTACGTAAAAAGATTTCTAAATCTTATTGTTAAATCTATCATTAAAGTTTCAGTAAAATAAAATATTTTTAATATATAAATTTTTGTTAATAAATTTAAGATTTTTTTTAAAAAAAGAATTATATTTAAAAACTTCTATAAATATATTAGCAAAAAAATTAGTTAATATCAATTATTAATGGTTTAAATATATATTCTTCTATTTACAGTATTACGGATTTAAATAAATATTGATATATTAAGACTCAATAATTTTTTATCTTCACTAAAAAGCTTAATTTATATTATTTATATATATTAGATTAGATTATTTATTATAAACAAATTTGTAAACTGATTAAAGCTCAAATTAGATATATTTAAAATAATTTTATCTCAATATATTTATATAGAGCTTTCTTTAAAGTGCCTTTTAATCTAAATAGATAAATCTTGTAAATAAAAGTCAAATAATATTAAACTTTATTCTTTAAATTATTAAAAAAAACTTTGTATACAAGTATAACTAAAACTTGTATTCAATTGATTAACATTGACAAGAATAAAATACTTGTTTTTATTAAAATCATAAATATCAAAAAGATAATTAATTATAAAAATATCAAAAATTGAAATTACTTGAACAATATAGTTATATATCAATAGATAATATAGATAAAATAATATATATAAATTTTAAAAAAAAAATATTTAATAAATAATTATATATTTTAACTTAAATATTTGAAATATATTATCTATTGATTATATACTATACATAAATATATATAAAATTGTTAAATCACAATATATAAATTAATTAAAAACAATTAATATTAATAGTATATATTGAAATTAATTATATAGTTATTTAATAATTATATATTAAATATTGTTATGAATTGAAATTTATTAAATTAATATATAACCCCTTTTATTAAATATTTTATATATCAATTTTTAATTAATTTTTATTTAAATATATATTAATATATAATAGTATTAACAATATATAAGAATTAAAATTTATCAATTTCTAATGATCATTTGTTATTTATTAATAAATAACTATATAAAAAATTTTTAAAAAATATAAGTTTGCATATTAGATCAAATTTATATTAAAAAAATAAAATTTTTATCTTTAGTTTCAAATTATATAATTATGTTTCAACTGTATTTATTATAAGAGAAAATCTTTATAAAATATTATTATAAATATTAACTCTAATCATCTTAATTATCTATATTATTAATTTTCAAAAGATACTATTGATATAATATATAATATATTGTTTTTTTATTTTTATGATTATAATATTCTTGTTTAAGATTTTTTATTTAAGCATATATTGGTTTATTAAACTTACTTGAACTAATAATTTTTGTTTAATCTTTTTATTATTTGTAACAAATAATCTTATCTTTTGATTTATATATTTAAACATAAAAAGTATTATTATTAGATAATCTCAAGAGACTACTTTAAAATATATCAGTTTATAATTAATCTTTAATAAATTATTCTATATATATATATTTTATTTTGCATCAAATTTTTTAGTACTGTATAAAAATATTAATTGATTTGATAGTTTTCAATTAATTTAAAGAAATTATTGGTTGAAAAAATGATTTTTTATCATATGTAAGTTATTAATTAACAAAGATTACCTTTTGGAGATAAATAATAATCTTTTTAAAGTTTAAAATATTTCAAAGTATAGTATTGAAATTACAGTTCTAGGATTGATCTAATTTCAATAATTTCAACAAAATAGTTACTTTTTTAAATAGAGTTTTATTTATAAGTTATTAACAAAAAATATAAATATTTTTCAATAATAATTATTTATTAAAGAAAAATCATTATACTTATTTAAAATTTGTTATTTAAAAATTTCTTTTTTGATTAATATAATATTATATAATTAGCAATTGTTTTGATTTATTTTTATAATTTTTTAAAAATTTGCTTTATTAATATAAAAATTCTTAAATACTTATTAAATATTGTATACTTATAGTTTTTTAAAACAAAACTTGGTTAAAGACATTATATATAAAGCTTTTATTAATAATTAACATATTATTATATTGAATATCTTTACAAACTAGATTATTGTTGTTCTGGATATAAATTTATATTATCTAGTAAATACTGTTTCAAATACTATTGATTTTTCTTGAGCCAACTGAACTATTCTAATTAACCAACTTGTATCTTATAGATAAGTCTATATCTAAGTAAAACTTATATAAGAGAAAGAAATCTTATTACTAGTTTAAATCTACTCTTCTATTTTATTAGCAAAATAAATAAAGTAATATGTATAAATTAATAACATCTTGAATAAATATCAATTATAATTATCCCTACTGATTATTATCAATTTAGATAAAAATCAATATGTATCAGAGTTATAGTTCTGAAAATTGGAATTGAACAAAATCGCAAGGAATAATATAAAATTCAGAACATTATTAAAAATAATGATGGAGTATACTCTATCTATTAAATTTAATATAAACTTGAGAATCAAATATAGAATCAAAGAGGATTGTTAAGAATCCTTAATCAGGATTTATTAATTTTGATTTAAAATTTTAAAAATATCAATTTATAACAATATAATTATTTTTTTATAATATAAATTGGAATTTTTATTTCTATATTAGATGTAATAATTAAAAAAATTAATTTGTTTTTATATAATTACAAATTTTTATATTTTATTTCTAATTTAATTTTTATTATCTTTACCAATATCAAATAACACATTGTTTTTTTTGTAAAAATATTATTGAATTGTTTTGCTGCATATTATTTGATTTTGTTTTTTCTTCTTCTTATTCTAATGTTTTTTTGTGATTGCTTTTAATTTAATGCATTTTCTAGTTTATTATTTAAAATTTCTTCAGTAGAATTTAGGAAGGAATTACCATTATTAAAATTTTTTTATTTAATAAATATATTAAAAATTATATTAAAAAAAATTATCATATTATAATCAATTACTTATAAGAAAATGCTCAATATAATGTTTTATATGCTTTTTAAAACATATGATACTCTTGAATTGAGAATTCAAAAAAATATTGTATATAGAAAAAGTAAATATATAAATAATGTTCATTGTTTAAAATGAAAACAGATGTTTCAAAAAATACTGCTCTTGCTATTTATTTATTATACTATTTGTTGATTCTCTTTTTTGTGATCTTTTTCAATTTTCATGTAAAGATAAAGTCTCATGATTTCTATTGTATTGATGAAATATAATTTGAGTTATTTGATATAGAGTTTGTTATTTTAAGAGTTGACAAGTTGAAGTTTATTATCTTAAGAGTAAGAGAACTGAAGTTTGTTGTTTTAAAAAATATCTAGACTATCAGAATTAAAATTGTTCTTTTGAAAGTTGCCTTGACTAACTTTATTCTCTAGAAGGTTGTCTTAATTGGGATCATTTCCTTAAAGAATATCTCAATCTTTGCCAATCTCTTGACTATTGTCTTGATTGAGATCAATTTTTATCAAATCTATATTGTGATTATTCTTTTAAGTGATGTTGGGATTGTGATTGTTCTCTTGAGTATTGGTGGAAAATGGATTGGAATCTTGAGGATTGCTAGTGACTTCTAAGGGAAAATTAATTTCTACCACTTATTACTAAAAAGGTATTTTGTGTACTTGAAATGCTTTTGTTGAATTTGAGCAATTACCATTATTATAAGCACAAATAGGCCAATGAGGATTAACAATATTTCATTGTATATTAGTAATAAATTGAAATTGAAAAATAGAAGAAACATTATATAAAGATAAAATATTTTTATTAGATATTGTTTTTTTTAAAACATTCTTACCTAAAATTCAATTCAATTTTATAATTAATAATATAATAACATAAAAATTTTTAAAAATTAATGACCAAATGAAAGTATTTATATTCAAAGTTGTTACTTCATTTATTTATATCATAAATCAATATATTATTTGCTAATTTATATAAACATTTTTTTGCATATAACAATAATTGTAACACAATAATTTTATGATTTTTGACATATAATAATAATAATTATTAGTATAATTTTGATAATTATCTATTTTAGTAAAAATATATTTTTGATTAAAAACAATTTATTAAAAAATACATTGATTATTATATTAATTTTAAATATTTTTGATATTCAAATTTTATAAATTTGAAGATAACAAACTATTTAAACTTGTTTATATTTATTGATATTGTTACACTTGATTTTCACTTAAGATCTTTACTACCTCTTATTCAATTTTCATTAGTATTGATTCTTGAAATATTAGCTGTTCTAAAATAGTTTTGTATTACAAATCTGTTACTATATTTTTGGCATCTATTGTATCTATTGCATTTTTATTATTTCTAAAATATTTCTATTTTATTTTATCTTTACTTTCTAAATTATTTTTGCCAAAGTATTTATTTGTATAAATGCTAATACAGTTAAATATTCTAATGAAGATAGTATCTATATCTTAGTTTATATTTTTATCATAGTATATATTTATTCTGTATAAAAATATTATAACTTAAACATATATATAAAGGCTTCAATTTCATTTAGGAATTGGTAGGCTTAAGCTTATATTTTA